ATCATGTCTATTTTTTTTATTTAACAAGGTAATTTGATATACTTTCAAACGAATCTAAATTTATTTAATTATGTTATGTAATTGTTGAGATATGCAATTTTTTGTCACCGCCATTTTTTTCTTAACACACTGTATATATGACATTTTAACCTTTTAATTTTTTATAATTTTAATAAATTTTTTTTAGGAGTATTTGATTACACAATATTTATGTTACAAATATTTATCTATTCTTGAAATAATTAACAATGTATAATTGAAATTGTTGACTGGCCTGAATATTATTACCAAAGTCAGAATACTAATACTAGATTTGCGTAAAACCAAGTAAAAATTCATTGGGCGATGTGAAAAGTAATTGAGAAAATTAAATATCGGATATAGCACCTCTGAAATTAATGATACTTTAAAAATAAAGACAAACCATTAGTGAAATAAACAATCCTAAAAATTATAATTGGTTTCTTTAAACCTTATCTTTGCATTTGATGTCGATACTTGTGATCCGTGGTGAATTATACCATACATTTGAAATTATAAATACTTATCGATTTATATATGAGATTACTTAAAGTCAGATGATGGGTCACTTGTATAATTTGTTTTCATTTCTCTTATTTTAATAATAATAATAAATAATATTATAAAACGGTGAAATTAATTATCCATCAACAATTTTCCAACTTTTAAAATTTTAACCTTATCAACCCTCCTTTAAAATACTTCTTATTTTTATTATAATTAATCAATTATTTAATAAAATTATATTTCATAATTTAATAAGCTATCATTACTACAATTTAATTTAGCAATTTCATCATTTAATATTCTGCTTGTATGTATGTTAATGAATGTGATTTATAAATTTGTTGCGAATTACTATTATCACTATTATTATTATTATTATTATTACGCTATTATTACCATAGTGACAGAATAATAATATACAATATGAAAATGTCTTAATATCATCTACCACGCTGCTGGAATTGGGCTTTAATTTTGTTTCCTAAATTTGCAAATTTCTTTTCTTCCTTAGGTTTAGTAGCTAAATATGATTCTCAATTTTTTTGATTCCTTTGGCTGATATTTCATCTATCTCTTTTTCCTTTAACTCTTGTATGCCAGTCATTTCAGCATTTAAAACCACCTGAGTGTTGACTATATTTTCTTTTTCTTCTTAATCTTTTATATATCCTTGAAATCTGGCAATGTTTTTTAAACTCTCGTTTTTTTCCTTGACTTCTTAAATTAAATTCTTTGCTGTGGAGAAGTAGTATAAGCAGTAACCACCATTATCAATTTATCTCAACCGGCAAGTTATTTTGTTGATAAAATTGCTTTCTCGTCAAATGTTACTTAATTCAAACTGGTTGGTGTTCTGACCATCCTTTCTTTTTGACCTTTTCCCAAAGTTTTATGGATTCTTTCTCAATACCTTTCTTGGCAACTTTTTAATCATATTGTTTATACTTCTCATAGTTTTTTTAAACTTCCATGATAATCATCAAAATTAGTATTATTATATTTTGGTTAGATTTCCCAACCATTTTAATTCTTGCTGAGTGTCAATATTAGCAATATCAGCTAAATTTCCTTAGGAAAATCACTCTCTGCTTGCATCTTACCTTGATTTTTCCCTGTCTCTTCAATAGTAAAATAATTTCCATTGGTAAACCATTCTTAACAATTTCAGAAGGTTTAAGTTTATGCTTTTCAAACTTATTTAATTCATCAATGGCTTTATTTGTCTCTTAGAAATAGTTCTTTATGTTATTCATAATAATATTTTTATAATTGCTTTGTGATTTGATTGTGATACTTGTAACCCGTGGCAAATAACATCACAAATTATTTATTTTATAGACTTTTCAAATATCAAGACCATACTCTGCTTTAAAGTAAGATACTTCCGAATTACTTCACAGTTATAAATTTTATTATCTGTGAAATTATTTAAAGTCAGATGATGGGTCACTTTGTATAATTTTTCATTTCTTTTTATTTTAAATAATATAAATAAAAATTTATCCATCAACTTTTAAAATTTTAACCTTCCTTTCAACTATTTTTTTATCCTTTATTATTGTTTTTAATTAATAATAAACTTCAATTAATTAAATTTATATTTCATAATTTAATAGGCTATCATTACTTAAATTTAATTTAGCAATTTCATCATTTAACATTCTACTTTTATGGTATGCTAATGGATGTGATTTATAAATTTGTTGTGAATTACCATTATCATTACGATTATTTTTATTACTACTACTGCTACAACCACTATTATTACCATCACCACCACCAATATAACTTCTATTTTTGTAAATTTCTTGTGATTTAT